GGCCAGGCGTGATTGTAGACACAAAATTAAACCAATCAAACCAACGCTCCCTTCAACCAAAATTGTTTAATTTTTATCAAACACTACGATCGGGCTCGACCGGGAATCGAACCCGGGACCACGCTCTGCTACCACTAATGTTACGGCCTACGGCTGCCCCTACAAGAATCAAATCTTCCGGGGCCCATTCAGCAGAAGACTTCACGAGCAGACGCAGGTCGGGCCTCAATATGGCCACGTAAAATTTCCTATTACAATAAACTATATGGGAGCATACTAGAAAGCAAATGTACTCACCTGTATCAGGAGCTATATTCGCTCCAAGCCTTGGGCAGGCCGTGAGTGTGTGTAATGGTAGATAGCGAGTCGTGTACAGTGATGTGTGAATCTGTGGGGCCTTGGCAAGCATAGGCGACCAGCAGTGGCCGAGTTCCTGGCTGCTCCAAAATGCTGCATCGCTTCAGACTGCTTCAGCGCCGTACCACTTCTTTCTTTATTGTCAGTGATTCAGTCTCTTAGCTTCATTGTACATTTAACTAACTTCAATTCGCCTAATTCCACACTCATCTCAGAATCAAACACGTGATACCTGACACGGCAACGGACAGTAGTTCAAAGTTCAATATTCAATGTCCCGGATTCACTTATCACAAATTATAAATTCGACACAGAATAACACGTCGCACAAGATTCAAAATACGCCTCGTTGACACGCAAATTAATTTAACTAGGCGACCAAAACACAACAAGTCACTAACGCGACGACCCAGTTATAACGATATCCTGCCAATTAACCGGGAGAAGCTCTCAAACAAGGAATGCGCGGCTCGAATCCTAGACCGTATATCTCCTCGATGCACGTACACTATTCCGCACTCTCTCACGAGTTAAATATCGCACGATTCACATATCTACGTGACGAAGAAGCACGTACTTCATCTAGCTATCTAGATCCACGACGGGCCCGTGAATTAGGTAAGAGGGCCTGACGGTCTCCCCGCATCGTGGCTGGCGGGGCACCGACCCTTCGCCCACGCTTCGAGCGACTGACTCCCACGCAGCTGCCCCACCTCGGCGTTTATCTCACCTACATACCAAATCAGTCACGGTGGATGGATCAGTTGCCGCGGAGGTGTCTGTATACTCCGAAGTCTCCGTGGCGGTCGTCCCTGTAGCTGTCGATTCCATACTGGTGGTACCGGTCGCCGATGTGGTAGCCTTGGACGACGACGGCTTGCTGCCCGTTCTCTCAGAGCGCGTAACGACCATGCTGTCAGCTGAATTTTTCTTCGAAAAACTTGAGTCTTGAAAACGATTTCCGAGAAGTCTTCTTAACTCGTTGTGGCACTATTTGAAGTCTTCAGGTAATTATTTCACACAACATCCGGCTCGAAGGACCATTAAATGTGCTGTACCTGCACAATTGTGTGCTGGGTTGGTGGAGAATAAAACCGCTGAGATATTTTCTTTCTTCTATATCGATGTTTTTCTTGAGGTAGCTGGCCGCCGACTGTGTCGAGAGACGAAAATCGCCCCTCTTTTATACTACCTCGGCTGGGTCAATACATACGGTGTAAGTATCGTGCAAACGGCGTCGACCAATCAGCGCGAGGCGTGACAGAGCAAGTGACGATGTTAAGTGACCACCTTGCTGAGTCACGTTACATTGTTTACATTAAAGCTAGTTCTACTATACAAGGTGACCACCTTACTGAGTCATTGTTTACCTTAAAACTAATTCTATTATACAGATATAAACACTAAACTATTATTTCCTTATCATGACATAAAATGCTTATATCCTATTTTATGTGACACTATATAATCTTTATTCAATCTAATATAACATAAACGCTTATATCCTATTTAAGTATAAACTCTAAACTACAATATTTATTCCATTAAAATAACATGTTTGTCTTATTTATGTATTATCCTATCACTATTTGTTTTCACTTGTCCCGCACATCATCTATCATGTGGAAAGCCGTGGAATGTAAATGGAAGTTTAATTTTGTTTTGTTTAGCTATAATTAATTTTTTTCAGCTGAGAAATCTTGAAATTTTCGGTGTTTTGAACAACCTTGTAATTATTTATTTCATTAAATATACTTTGCTGCATTCACTCACACCGCGCTCGATCGCCATTGTGTGTGAATTACTATATCGTGTGTTTTAAAGCGGTAATAGGCAGCAAAAATATCGATCGCTGTGAAATACTAAATATTCCAAAAACCAAATTTGATGCAAAACTTCAATGGTCCGAGGTAATACCCAGATTTTAATTATACTATATTGTTTCGCTAAAAGTACGTAGGACTTATATACAAATATACTTATACGTACTGGCAGGCGAAGGGTGGGGCATCCCCCACTAGATGAAGTGACGATATGGTAAGACATGCAGGAAGACAATGGATGAAGGTGGCTCGTGACCGTGCTTTGTGGAGTTCTGCAGTAGCAAGTCCACTGCGGAACTCCACAAAGCACGGAAGGGCTGTAATGATGATGATATGTCTTGGACTTTGTGGAGTGATGTACTTCAATGAATGCTACTGGAATTCCTCAAAGAGTAGAACTAGATGTGAAAAGTTTGACCTAGTTTTGTTAGTTATAATGATACCTTACCTCCGGACTTGATAGAGTGAGCTGAAGGTGTTCTTTGATGACTGCTACTTGAACTCCTCGATGAGAACTAGGTGTCCCGATTTTGGACTCGTTTTGTTAGTCATGAATAGACCTTACCTCCGGACTTGATGGGAGTGACTTGAAGATATAATTCAGTAACTGCTACTGGAACTCTTTGACAAATGGCAGTACAATTTACAATTTTTTTATTTTTTCACGATTATATGAGCATTATGCGTCGTGCACTTTTGAATTTGCCAAGCTTTTTTTAAATTGAAATTTGACATTAAATTATCGGAAAATTGGAAATATAGTGGTAATTATAAGATTTTTAGTGAAAACTTGTGTGTAATTAAACTAATTTAAAATTTAACGTTTTTAAAATTTTATATATTTTATAAAAAAATAGGATTTCCCTCCTCTGTCGTGTGTCTTTTTTTACGACAACATACGATATTAGTATGGGTAGTGGATTCTTGTACACCGCCACTATACGGTATCCATATAATATTACTTATTAAAAAATACTTAGTGTGTGATGATAACCGGTAACCCTTTTTACTGGTAACACGGTAATATTTAAATTATTATTTGAGGACAGATGTATATTTGTCACCATTTCTTGTATAAAAACGTTACGATTTATTTGTGTGATCCTGTCACGGTAAGTATAAAATATATTCAATAATAACTTTCGTAATGAATTCTTATACAAAGCCGTACCCGTACAGTATCGATAACCTGAGTGCACTCGTTTCGTATTTCAAATAAAGTGACGTACTTTATAAGATACGCGTATATTTCATCGGTTACCTTGATGCGTTCTGTGATTTATATTTGTTCGTTGATATCGTCTTATAGTATACAATACCAAGTAATATTTCATTATTGATGTAAAACATCTATTGGCGTGCCTTTGCAGTACTACTCGTATGCCGTGAAGGCATAGGGCCATAGGGCATGACTCTTTCTTATGCCGTCATATCGTATGCATTTCATATTAACTGGTCGTAACCACGGTTACTTATCATGAAGTACCAGGTTTGAATTTGGGATCAGGCCAAATTCAGTAATTTGGATTTCCTGTTAGGAATTTTCAGTAATCAGGACGTTGGTGGTATTTTACCCCCGTGCCTTAGAAAGCACGTAAAGCTGATGGTCCTGCGTCTTATCTCTCTGTTGTCATGCTGGATACCCATCGAACTGTGAGAGTGAGGAAATAGAGAGTGCGCTTGTGTTTGCGCATATACTCGGACATATTAATTCTGTTCTGCGCAGATGGCTAGTCTTCATAGATACTGGCCGCCGTGGTCAATATTCGGTCTGGACAACATTATTATATGATGGCTTATATCGAGCAGTAGACTGCTGACGAGCTCTTTTTAGAAGATATATTTTCTCTTAAGTTAATATTCTTCTTCTTCATTAGCCCATTTTGGTCTATTGATGGCCATGGGCCTCTCTTTTTGCAAGATAGATTAACCAGAATCGTCACGTTTGGCAAGCAAGAAATGGAGAAGCGGGGCGAAATAATAATTTAAGAATTAATTCCATTAGCAAACTTTATCGCTGTTTTTAGAAAATTTTATATATAATTAAGAAAACTTGTGATTGACATGGCAAAACGAGGCGTGCTCCTTATATATAATGTAAAGGAAAACGTTCATTAGCTTTATAAGTCAATCTCTTATTGAATGACAAAGAAAACTTCCACTCGAATGTTTCTTTTTATTTCATTCCTTTCTTAGAATAATGATCGTCTGTGTTTCTCAGATTTTATTTTATAGTTGTACTTTTAAACTTGTATAAAGCTTGACTATTTTTTCTTTAGTAATGGTTTCGTATGATTGTACTTTTGCTAGAACATCAATGTTTCTCAACAAAATATTTTGTTATGTATAATGAGAATAAAATTGAATAGAACATTTTCACAAATGGCTGACGATTTCGATTTATCCATAACTCAAGCAAGCAATATATTTTTCAATAAGATGCCAAAAATTGTAAACGTCATTTCCCCCTTTATTAAACAGTTTTCAACCGAATCTATCAAGAGAAATTTACCCATTGCTTTCAGGCATAAATATAATAAAGTCACATGTATTATAGACTGCTTAGAAATTGAAATTCAAAAACCAAAAAAGCCATGCACCAAGCATTGACCTGGTCGGAATACAAAAAAACTAACAGCATAAAATATCTTCTAGCATGTACACCTGACGGTCTCGTGAGTTTTGTGTCTGCTGGATATGCAAGAAGGATAAGTGATGTAAACTTGGTTGAACATAGCATGTTTTTAGATAGCTTGCAACACAATGCTTGCATTTTAGCTGATAGAGGGTTAAAGCATCTTGAACATTTTTTATCTTAAAATGGATTTACTTTTAATAAAAGATGAAATGCGGCAGACTAAAAAAATAGCAAGTCTTCGAATTCATGTAGAGAGGGTAATTCGAAGAATTAGAGAGTTTGGAATGTTAAAGATGCATTCAGTGATAAATATTAATCAAATTGGAATGTTGGATATGAGCATTACAACCACTGGTGCTTTAATTAATTTACAAAACGCCCTCATCAAATGACTGGAGGCTGCCTTGAATTAGTTGAAGTAGCTATTGTCTCATTACAATGTGTATCATCGTATCTTGTACTAATGACTTGTATTAATATTAGAAATTAAAGATGAAAATAAAAAAAAATCATATTCGAAAAAAACACATTAATATAAAATCTACATTTTATTTAGCAGTTTATTTTATCTATAGTAGTCTCATTTGCAAGATCGATCAAAGAAAATAAATAAAAATATTTTCATAGTTTGCAGTTTTGTACATAGTTAAGTTTCGGGAACTATAATTTACTTTTGTTTTTCACGATCATATGAGCATTATGAGTCGTCCACTTTTGGATTTTCAAAGCTCGTTTTTCTAATTAAAATACGACATTAAATTATCGTAAAATTGTAAGTTTATTTATAGAAGTATAAATTGGTTTTTAGTGAAAACTTGTGTGTAATTAAACAATTTTAAAAATTAACGTATATGTATGTTATACGTAATTTTTTTAATGCTCTTGAGGCATGCACAATTGGATTTAACAATATTTTATATTACGATGTGATATTTTTGTAACTACGCGGTGTTAGAATTTATTTTACATCTAGGCTATCTGGTTAGGTACAACCATTTTACCAAATAAGAGCCCTTGCAGAGCTGTGTTTCGTACTGAAGACAGAGAGCCAGTATAATTACAGGCTGTGAGGAATCCATCACAGTCCTCAGAGATGATAACGCACTTAAGCCTTCTTTATTTAATGTTAAATGCAATTGTCTATGGACTGCAAGCACTTAGCTATTTCTAAATCTTACCTAATTCTGATGCCAAGCAGCACTGATATATTCCGGTCTAAAGGTTGCAGATAGTCGGTATAATTAAAAGCTGTGAGGCATTCCAGCTAAGTTCTCAGAGCTGACAACGCTTTTATAGCCTTCTTTGTTTAAGGTCGGATTCAGGTTTTATTCAAGGTGGTAAGACTCTTTAATCTAGGATTCCGTCTGGGTGTGTACCCCCCTCTTGCTGTTTCTGTCGTAAAATACAAAACTTGTACTGCTGTGTACCCACTACAGGCTGTGATGCATCTTAGTTTTCGGAGGTAAAAACGCATATGTAGACTTCTTTGTTTAGTTAGCTGCAGGTGTCCACAGACTGAAGTAGCCGCTTGCCATTAGGTGGACGATTTTGTTTGTCACTTAAGTTTTATAAAAAAAGTTCTAAATCATTAATGTTGAATGAAAGTAGAGCCCACTATTGAACGTAAACTTTTTTTTGTTTACAGGCTGATGATGAGAATGAGGCCGTTTAAAGTAAGTTTCCTCTATCAGCTTCCCCCAAACAATCACACTTTAGTTTATGGTAGTAAAGTTATTCGTAAAAGCAGCGATGTGGATCAAATGCGGATATTGTCTGGGAAATTGCGATTGCACCGGAGATGAGCTACCGCCCACTGATGCTAGAACTATACATTCTTGTGTAGATATAGCCGCTAATATTTATTCAGTTTGCTGCACTAAAGTTTATTTTTAAAGTGAAAGCTTCTTGAGCCAAGTTGGGCACTTTAGGGATGGGGAAAACACTGGACACTGAATGTCATGCTCAGATACACTAAATAAAGGGCACTAAGGCCAAACTAGTGGTTTTTAGAATTTAGTTCTGTCTGTTTGTGTATTCACAATTCACGCAAAAAACTACTGGACATATTTCTAAGAAGTTTTGTGTTTTGTGTGGAAGAAGTTAGTGACTATTTTTATCTTACTCTTACCAGGTCGTCACCCTAACTTGTGTGCCACTCGAAAACATTTCTTTCCCATCGGTTGTCGCCTCTTCAATCTATATAGATGGTTCAGTGCCAATTCTGCTTACTGATGCATTGGTCTATGGGGTTTTGTTAGTAACATGCTAAAATAACCAAACAAAATATTTGACAAAAATATAATTTATCTCTTCATAACTGTCTTATGCTCTTTCCTTTTCACATATTATCTCATTAACATAAAAACGTAGTACTTCTTTAGTTCTAATAATATTATTTACTGTGTTAGTACTTTGTTTGTAAACCTGATAAATCCAGGTTTTTAGTTTCTAACTAGCAAACAAGAAATAGGATGAAAAACTATAGTTCTATTTACTAGTTAGTGGGCGTCATTGTATGTCTTCATGGTGGATATTAAAACAATAGTAATCGCTTTTAGATATTTTTAATTTTAAAACTAAGCAACAGGGTATGATGATTTATAGTTTTTTATTTTACTATCGTTATTAGAAAGATATTGTTGCCCATCTCCTGATTTCTTTCTCTCTGTTGCCTTTACAGCTACGAAACCCGCGGGACCATATGAGGTAGTGGATATTCTTACACCGACACTACATAGTTACGTTTTTTTAAATTAAAATATCGTTACTAACGTTACAATACTGTTAATGATTTTGCGCAGACAAATTACATTTATGGTTCTAAATTAGGTCTTTACAGGTGAAATTGGTGAACTGGCCATTTTGATCTCAAATATCTGGCGCTTTGTGAAGAATTCCAGATTCAAATTATTTCAAATTTAGGCTTATGTATTTGTGTTTTAGAATTTGTGATTTGTTTCCGCGCCTTTTACATCGTTCTGTTCACAATATGCAAAACATAAAATATCGCGTTATTTACGAATAAAAGTTCCACGGTGGCATCAGCACTGCAGAAACATCTCGTAGGATTTATTATTTGTATGTGTAAAATTTTTCGTTCTGAAAATTATGTCCTACAGAACAAACCCCGTGGACATCTGGTGACCCTAGTCGACAATGAAGAATTAAAAGTGAACTTGGAAACGAATCAGATTTAGCAGCAGGCTTTGTTATGAGTGATAAAACAATTATAGTTAACTTGAAATAATGAAAAAGCAATGTAACTTGTGATGAAAAATGGATCCTATACAATAATAGAAAACGCTCATCACTATGGTTGAATCCAGAAAATCCGGCCAAATCCTGCCCCAAGCGAAAGTTGACTCAGAAAAATGAACTGGTAAATGCCTGGTGGACCAGTGCTGATGTCATCTGATACAGCTTCCTAAGATCTGGCCAGACGATTACGGCAGATAATTGTTGTCAACAATTGCAAATCATGATGGAATAGCTAGCCGTTAAGCAATCGAGACTGCTTAATAGCTATAGCCCACTGTTACTTCAGGACAACGCTAGATCCACCACACTGCAGACGGATGCTAAATTAGAGAAGATGCGATTGGAATGTCTCCGACACCCACCATACCTCCGTGACCTTGTTTCAAAAAATTATCACTTTTTCCGGAATTTGGACAATTCCTTGCAGGGAAAAATCAATTCTAAAATAGCAAACAAAACTACATTTAAAGATTTTATTGATTCTCGCTTCCACATTATTTATAGCAATGGAATCATTGAACTTTCGATAAAATGGCGAAAGTGTAAAGATAACAATGGTATATGCTTTGATTTATTAAATACATAATTTCATTCGTGTTGGTTGTTCTATAAAAAACGTCAATTTAATATGTAAGGACATAATATATTATTATGTCGTCACATGCGACCTGTATAGATAACATTTTTACAGATGTTAAGCCCTTGCATAAATCAATTATTCAAAATTTAAGTTCAGATCACTGTGCGGAAATGCGGCTGATTCAGAAACTATTTTTGTTTTACAGAAGAGGGCCATTAGAGCTATTTACAATCTAAAACCGAGAGAGTCTCTTAGAGATAAATTTAAAGAAATTAATATATTAACTTTGGCCTCTCAGTATATTTACGAAAATTTAATGTATGTTCATAAAAACAAAGATAGTTTTAGTAAAAGAAGTGATATACATTCTGTAAACACTAGGAACAAACACAAGCTAGTGATACCAGTTTCTCGACTCCACAGAGTCAGTAATTCATTCTAGGGGCAATGTATACGCTATTACAACAAGGTCCCGGAAAGTGTACAGGTTCTCTCTATTACCAAGTTTAAATGTTTTATTAAGCTGAAACTGTATAAAAAGGGTTATTATAGTATATATGAATACATGATTGATAATAACCCCTGGGAATGAGGTGGTCGCTTCCAAGCAGTTTCTAAAATAAATTTTGTAAATAGTTCGTAATCATTTATATTGTAAAATTTATTTAAAAAAAAGTCCCGCTGGGTTTCTTGCTGGTTCTTCCCAGGACAGAGGGTTTTTTTCGAACTAGTGGTAAAGTAAAAAATGACTTTCAATAAGAATTACACATGTAATGTATATTGAATAAAAAATATTCTATTCTATTCTATTCATGTTAAATGACGCGAAGAGCCAAGATTGATAAGGTTATCATCAAATATACTCATGGAAAAATTTAGAAGAACGCAAAAAAATGTGGATAAAACAATACACATTGAATGATTGTAACGTTAAGTTTATTAATTTGAATTTAGCTTATTATTCGTTAATTTAAAATTGCAAACGTTGAAAAACCAAACGATCAAATGACAAAAAATAATCAAAAAAAGAAAAATTTTACAGCAAAGAGAGATGTTTGTTCTTAACATTTTATACATATAATAAATACTTGAGAACGGCTATAACGAAGGCTTTAATCAGTATTTAATGTTGCTCCCTCTAATTCTTCAAACTGCTTCCAGTCTCCTTGGCATACTTCTAATAAAGCTATCAATAAAATTTTGAGACATTGCGTTCCATTCTTCATGTAATGTGTTATTAAGATCTCAAATTAGTATGGGCTGGATTTATTTTCTTAGTTTGTCTTCCAAGCTGTCCCTATACATGCTCTTTGGGGTTTAAGTTGGCCAAGCGCGCTGGCCACCTCATAGAATTGATTTCAACGTCTCAGTAGTATTAGACAACTACGGCCACAGTATGGGGTGTGCTTATCATGCATAAAAACAAATTGTATCTCCTACAAAAGAGGCAAATGGCACTACAATTTCTTCGAAATTCTTAGGTAAATATAGCGCGGCTGTTTGTATCTTGTTCTCTATAATGCGGAGTTATGTACGTGCCTATACAAATACATC